AGTACTGACCCTCCGACAGTGCGGCACTCCCTCAGTACTGACCCTCCAACAGTGCAGCGCTCTCTCAGTACTGACCATCTGACAGTGCAGCACTCCCTCAGTACTGACCCTCCAACAGGGTGGCACTCCCTCAGTACTGCACCAAAGTCTAAACCTAGATTATCTGTTCATGTCTCTGGAGTGAGGTTTATACCCACTGCCTTCTGGCTCAGAGGTCAGAGTGCTGGCAAATGCCCATGGCTGACATCATATTGAAGACCACTGTGTAGAGGCATGACAGTGTCCTGACCTTTTGGCCCTGGAGTCAACATTGGAGGACTCAGCATCAGGTCACATTTGATGGAATGATATCTCCTCGAAACATTTGAGTCCACAACCTGGGCTGCCGTTTTTCTTTATCTTAGCTATTTCCAGGGAGTTCCAGTTTGTTGAACGCTTGCTGCTGCATCATTGCATCCTGAATTAATCTCTTTAAGACTGGCTTTATTATCACAAAGGTAAAATTCGGATGGCTGCTTATGGCATGAGACTGTAGCCGGGGGAGGTGCTGTAACTGTGCCTATTGTAGTTGGTCCTTGATCTCAGTGAGGGTTTAACATCCCGTGTTTAATCCGAATGAGGCTGTTTGGTCTCTCTTGTGTGCATTTTCATGTCTTCCATTAACTCCTGCCTGTCAAGCTGAGTGAGATCTTGTGAGGATTTGCTTCTGTCTACATTTGCTGCCAGGCAATGTCTATCACCTGGGTCCCCTTTCAATCTGCTATTCCGTCCATCTGCTTGTTTACAGCTGAGTCTCATTCCCATGCACAGTGTTACTGGATTCATCTGTACACTGGTTAAACCTGGATCTCCTTTCTCTTCAGCTTGTCTCCTTGCTCTTAACTCAGAGTCCATGGTGTTATATGTGCATGGTCTGTGTGTCATATTTAATAGAGCTCTTGATATCAAAAGCTGCTTCGAAGTAAAGCATCAGGATCTATAACTGCGCTGCTACACACGCAGTGTCACAGTGCCTGGATACATTTCCCTTGGAGTGGATATTAGTTCCTCTTTTATTTCTATTTTGAACTAGGCGAAGGAGGTAGAGAAAGTTAATTTCAGTTTGTCTCCTCACTCTCCCCTTTCTCTTATCTTTTCCCTTCCTGTTCTCTTGATACCATTCCAGTGGCCCCAGTCACCATACCATTCCAGTGTGCACACATACCCATTAAGAAATTACTGAAGAAACTCAGCAGGTCTGGCTGCATCTGTGGAGGGAGATACAGTTAGGATTTTGACTCCTTACCTGGATATAACTGTACACAGCACTCCAGATGTGGTCTCACCAAAGCACTGAGCAATTGCAGCAAGATATCCTTACTCAAAATCTCTTGCTATGAAGGCCAACATACCATTTGCCTTCTTCACTGCCCACGGCATCTGCACTGCTTACTTTCAGTGACTGGTGCACAAGGACACCTAGTTCTTTTCTTCTTTCCCAATCTATTGCCATTCAGGTAATAATCTGCCTTCTGTTTTTGCTCCCAAAGTAGATGACCTCACATTTACCCTCATTATACTTCATTTGCAAGCATTTGGCCAATCAATAAACCTCTCCAAGTCACACTGAAGCATCTCTGCATTGTCCTCACAGCTCACCCTCCCACCCAGCTTTGTGTTGCCTGCAAACTTGGAGATATTACATCTAGTTTCCTCATCTAAATCATGAATGTATATTTTGAATAGCTGGGGTCCAAGCTCTGATCTCTGCGCTAGCCCACCAGACACTAGCTGCCTCTTGGAAAACGACCAGTTTAATCCCTCTCTTTGTTTCCTGTTTGCCAATCAGTTCCCTATCCACGAACAAAAACAGAAGTTGCTGGAAAAGCTCACCACATCTGGCAGCATCTGTGAAGAAAAATTCAGAGTTAATGTTTCAGGTCCAGCGACCCTCAGAACTCTGTTCTCACAGATGCTGCCAGACCTGCTGAGCTTTTCCAGCAACTTCTGTTTTTGTTCCTGATTTACAGCATCCGCAGTTCTTTCGGTTTTTATTAAGTAGTTCTCTATCCATGTCAGCACATTACTTCTAAAACCATGTGCTTTAATTTTACATGCTAATCTCTTCTCTGGATCATTATTGAAAGTCTTCTGAAAGTTCAATTAAAACATGTCCATTGACCATCCTTTATCAACTCCACGAGTTATATAAAAGGGATTAGGGAGAAAGCAGGAAGAGGGGACTGAGTTGAAAAATTAGCAATGATCACACTGAATGGCCTACTGACACTCCTATTTTCTATGTTTCCATGAGTCCAATATGATTCTTCTTCAGGACTGAGAGGGTCTGGAAAAGTAGAGGCTTTTATGAGGCAAAATGCTGTTAATTAACCATTGTTCGTGAGGGTCCGTAGACATCTTTCTCTGAGAAGGAGACAGACAAGTGGTTCAATAGCTTGGCGGGTGCTACTTAATTTCAAATACAGGGCAAGACAAGGAGACAGTCCTCCATGAAGTACGTGAGCTGTACAGGATTGAACCCACACCATTAGTGCCATTGTGCACCACATGCAGCCTTCCAGCCAACTAAACAAAGCAACTAGCTAACTTTTTAAATTTTGCGAAGCAGGAGGAAATGCTAGTGAACAGATGAATTCCACATCTTAACCTGAAGAAAAAAAAATGCTCGAGCTGGACAGAGTGAGATGAGTCTTAATTTCAAACTCGAGTAGCAATTTGACAGAGCAACTTGGTGTTGAGGGAAGAGAGAGGAGGTTACACTGCTGTTCTGTCTGTAAGTACTGACATGTTAATCATCATCATTATTTCTTGTCTTTATTTGTTTCTTGCAGTGGCCCAGCCTCCAACCATCACCAAGCAGAGTCCAAAGGATTACATTGTAGATCCACGAGATAACGTTGTTATTTACTGTGAAGGGAAGGGGAACCCAACTCCTGCGTATGTAATTCTTTCTTTACATTGACATGAGGGGAATGCAATATCACCCTGGGATGAGGAGATGAAGGGGGTGGATGGAGGGGAATGGGGGACACAGAATTTGGGGACATGTCCTGTGTGCTGCAATGAACACTATCGTCCACTGGTGGCCATCTCTGAGCAATGTGGAATTAGCACCTCCTGGTGTTTGGAACCAGGTACTGCAGCCCGATTGGCCAATAGGGCAATCTCTTACTTGGAAACCTAACTTGTCAATGTGAGCAGGGTTTCTGCTCAAAGTCCGACTAAGTTACAATACCGGAGAAGGTGATGTCGAGAGGAAATTGACCCCACCTGAATAACACAGCTGAAAGGGCCATTTGTCCCCTTGTGCCCTGCTGACTTTTTGAACCTGCTACTGATCAGTGCCACTCCCCTCGTCTTTCGCTGTACACTGGAAAATTATTTCCTTTTCAAGTACTCATCCAGTTCCTGTTTGTGTGTTGTTATATAATCCTCTTCCACCACCTTTTTAGGGTGTTAGTTCCAGATCAAAAATTCACTATGCTAAAAAAAAACACCTCATTGCACCTTTCTCACTCATTTTCCACCTTAAATCTGAGTCCTCTAGTTACTGACCTTCCATAAGACCATCAGAAACAGGAAAAGGAGTAGGCCATTCGGCCCCTAGAGCCTGCTCCACCATTCAATAAGATCGTGGCTGACCGACATTCCTCATGTCCACTTCCCTGCTTTTCCCTGTAACCCTTGATTCCCCGAATCATCAAGAATCTACCTACCTCAGCCTTAAATATACACAAGGACTCTGCCCCAGAGCTCTCTGTGGCAAAGTATTCTAAAGACTCTGAACTGTCTGAGAGAAGAAATACCTCCTCATCTCAGTCTTAAAATGGTGCAACTTTATTCTGAGACTATGCCCTGTGGTCCTAGACTCTCCCATGAGGGGAAACATCCTCTCAGCATTTACCCTGTCAAGCCCTTTAAGAATCCTGTACATTTCAATGAGATCACCTCTCATTCTTTTAAGCTCCAGTGAGTAGATTCCCAGCCTCCATACCAAGAATCATCCAAGTGAACTTTCTCTGAACTGCCTCTAATGAAATAATATCTTTTCTTAGGACTAAAACTGTGCACAGTGCTCCAGATGTAGTCTCACCAGCACCTTTTCAAGTTGCAATAAGTCTTCCCTACTCTTACACTCTAACCCTCTTGAAATAAAGGCCAATATTCCAATAGCCTTCCTCATTACCTGCTGCACCCTAAGTGCTAGCTTTCTGTGTTTCATGCACAAAGCCCCCCCAAAGTCCCTTTGTGTTGCAGCTTTCTGCAGGTTTTCTCCATTTAAATAAGACTCTGTGTTTTTGTTCTCCCTTCCAAAATGAATAACTTTATATTCTACTTCATTTGCCAACTTCTTGCCCCGTTCCTTAACCTATCAATATTCACTGTAAACTCCAGAACCAAAGAATCACTCAACCCGAAACATTAACTCTGATTTCTCTCCACAGATGCTGCCAGACATGCTGAGCTTTTCCAGAAATTTCTGGTTTTGTTTCTGATTTACAGCATCAGCAGTTCTTTCAGTTCTCTCTGTAAACTGTTTGCATCCCTCTCGCAACTTGCCTTTCCACCTATTTTTATGTCATTTGCAAATTTGGCTACAGTACAGTGCACGGCACTTCCTTCCTCCAAATCATTCCCATACATTTTGCATGGTTGCGGTCCCAGCATGTCTTATGGTGCAGTGGGTAGCATCCCTTCCTCTGGGCCAGGAGTTCCAGATTCAAGTCCTTACCAGAACCTCTTGTTCTGAGAAGCAGCGTTCCCAATGCAGTTTGTTAGGCTGACCCAGGAATCATTCCATGACCTCCCAGTTATACCCCAGCTATTCCCCATAGAGAAATGAAGTGAGCCCGAAGACATGCTTAAAATAATTAACCCTCCAGCCAGATCTCTCCAAGCTGCATGACCACTCGGTTTTGTGCATGCTGATTGGAATTCTAGTTCTGGAAGACACTGTCGCGCATGGACCTTTGGAGGTCCACACACTGGAAAATACACCAAAGGTCATCGGATTTAGATTGGGAGGTGGAATTCAAAAGATAATGACTGATCTGCTTGTGTTTTGAATGGTAGAGCAGGCTTGAGGGTCCCTACGCCTGCTCCTGTTTCATATTTCCATATGTGTGTTTGTAAAGGTTCCCCGAGGAAAGTTCACGTTTCTGCGGCCAGGCCTTCAAAAATGTATCAGCACCTGCATTTGGAGAAATCTCCGTGTTTAGAGTAAGGCCCTCAAGACTTTATCAGCCCAGACAAATGGGATTAACACCCGCAAATTTCTCAATAGGATGGGAAGTGTAATGTTTGTCCTGGATGAATTGGTTAAGACAGGTTAATGGTGCCCCAATTGGCTGACGATGTTTCAACAGCTTCTCGTGGACTCGAAATGGAAAGTTCTTCAATGTCGCAAAAGATTCCAGAGTTTCGATGCGATCGCGGTCAGGGACCCTCACGATGGACTTTCGTTACAGTGGCCGGGCAGAGGACTATGAGGGGGAATACCAGTGCTCAGCCAGAAATGACTATGGAACCGCACTCTCCCACAAAATATTCCTTCGAGTCTCCAGTAAGATGAATCTGTTACAGTTTGAAATAGTGACTCTCTTTGGCACAGAATGTATCAGGGTGGGACTTTTGTTTTGGTGATGTTTCTGGATTCATAATCCAGAGAAGGTGAACTTCAGTCTCACTTTGGATGTTTGACAATTTGAATTCAGTTTAGAAAAAGGAGCGAGCAACAGTAAGACTAAACGGGGAAGATCGCAGTGTCATGATGAAGCTACCTGACCAGTAATCCAAAACCCCAGGTTTAATGTCCTGGATAAGGGAGGGGCTCAAATCCCATCACAGGAACTGCTGGAATTTAAAAAGAAAATAATACATTTTATGAATAAATCTGGAACTAAAAAGCTAGTCACAGTAAATGATGTCCATTAAACTGCCATTTGTTATTGTAAATTTCACCTGGTTCACCGTATGGAAAGAAATCTTCCATCCTTACCTGGTCTGACGTACATGTGACTCCAGACAAACAGCAATGTGTTTGACTCTTGACTGCCCTCTGAAATGGGCTAGCAAGCCAATTAGTTCAAGGGCAATTAGGGTTGGGCAATAAATGATTAACTTTCCAGCGACTACCTGCATCCTGTGAATACATGAACGGTTCACTTTTCATTAAAGAAATCTGGCAGCTTTGCCCATTCACATCCATGTGGCACTCCAATCTCCATCCAAATTGCTCTCTGAATTGGCCTGTCAACATGCTCCATTCTAGGAAATTGGCAGCAGATGTTGTCCTTGGCAATGGTGGCTATTGCATGGGCTTGCATGATCAAATGAGACCATGCTGTATTGTCCACATTCTCTATGTGAGACTTAATAACATACAACGATATCAAGGATATGCTCTAAATGTTGCCCATCACCCCAATCCTTCATTATCTCCCTGAACTTGAAATCTTTCACCTTGCCAACACATCCCTGAACTCTCTGACCATGCCTTGGCAAAAGTCCTCTCATCTGTTTTTTTCCTTAAGCCGACTGGGGCCTCTTGAATTAATTGTTCTTTTCTAACCATCCACAGCTCCTCTGGAGCTCTCTCCTTAAACCTCTCCCGCTTTCCCTGTTTCCACGAAATGTAAAGATTCACATCTTTATTTCAAAGGAATGTAGGTGAGTTATAGCTAGCACTATCCCAATATCCAGGTTAATACTTTTTGCTCAGTCAACCTCATTAAAACAGATGATCTGGCCATTTTCACATTGCTATTTGTGGGAACTTGCTTTGCAGAAGTCAGTTGCCACATTTCCTACAATATAAACTGACTATACTTCGGAAGTGTTACATCAGTTATAAAGCTCTTTAGGAATCCAGAGGCATGAATGACAGTCTGGGAAGGGAAGTTTTTTTTTTATCTCTTTTAAAGAGCTCTCCAAGGTCCACATCTGGTTCACTGGTTTGGCCAAGGGTTGTTTTGAGTTTCCAACTCAACAGAGAGAAAAGACAATGAGCCCTGAGTTTTCACAGAGGCTGGAAATCTGAAATAAAGAGAGAAAATGCAAGATTACATTTCCCTCGCTTTTTCAAAACCTGCTCCATTTCAAACCTTTCCCAGTTCTGATACAAAGCCATTGGTCCGAAAGATGAGATGTTAGCTAATGCCCTTCACTTTGCTGGATTTTGTGGTGAGGAGCATTTAATCAGGCAGGGGATGGTACAATAGCTCAGTGGTTAGCACTGCTGCCTCAGAGCGTCAAGGACCTGGGTTTGATTCCAGCCTCGGGCGACTGTCTGTGTGGAGTTTGCACATTCTCCCCGTGTCTTGTGGGTTTCTGCCAGCTGCTTCGGTTTCTTCCCATAGTTCATAGGTGTGCAGGTTAGGCGGATTGGCCATGCTAAACTACACTCTGTTTCAGCCCCTCTGTTTCAGCCCCTCTATTTCTCAGACTCTGTTTCAGCCCCTCTGTTTCTCGCACTCTGTTTATCGCACTCTGTTTCTTACACTCTGTTTCTTGCACTCTGTTTCAGGCCCTCTCTTTCTCACACTCTGTTTCAGCTCCTCTGATGTCCAGGAATGTGCAGGCTGGGTGGATTAGCCATGGGAAATTGCACATAGTGTACAGGGATGTGCTGGTTAGGTGGATTAGCCATGGGAAATGCAGGGTTACAGGGATAGGGTGGGTCTGGATGGGATGCTGCTCAGAGAGTCATTGTGGACTTGATGGGCTGAAACTCCTGCTTCCACACTGTTGGGAATCTATGAGGCTGGCCAGTGGGGATTCTGCCTCCACCAGGATTAAATCATGAGCGGGAGGCTCAGGGACAGCTTCCTGCTCCCATTGGCCCATAATCTGAAGTCCTTCATTTGGATTTCATGCCGTCACTGCTGAAAGTAACGCAGCAGTTGGCCAGAGACCCACCAGAGGGCAGCAGGACAGGCAGACATCTGTGCCGTGCCACCTGGGCCCCCTGTTGGGTCACAAATGGGTGTTCCACTTGTACGAAGGCACTCTGCACTTGACCCGGCATCTGGGAGGAGTCTCGCTGGGAGTCAAATGATTACCTTTGCGGTTGAACCCTCTCCAAATCCCCCCATCGCTCCAATGGCTTGGGAATCCAGTAACAATACTTGCCAGAGGGTGTCCTGTGCAGTGAAGCCTTTGATTGGCCAGCAGCTCTCAGTAGGGTCTGCTTCACACCCCTGCAGGTCCTTCATCCTGGGAAAGACTCGGCACTGTCCAGCAATTGCCCGATTGACACATAACACAGTGAAGTGTCCCTTAAAGAGGCAATGTGAGGCTCTGAAACTGGAGAACTGCATTGCCTCCATGAATCCAGCCCATTGTTTTGATCTCCACGGATGGTGTCAGTACTGCAGTATTTCCAGAATTTTGTGATTTATCTTCATTACCAATATCCCTCCCTCCTGCCTCAGGTTGTGAATGTTCGTAAATGTTCCTGTCAATGGTGTTTCAACTTTATCTCCTTTTCCCTTATGCTGCTTTCTCCCTTACTGCTGTCGTCCCCCATGGTTGTCTCTCTAGAGATGTTTGATTCCTAGCAAAGGTTCGCAGTTTGTTTGTAGCCACTGCCGTTTGTTCCTGGATGCATCTGAACTTGTTGTGATCCACTATCACTGACAGTCCCTCTCTCTGTCTCTCTGTGTTCTGCGTGACCTGTAGAAGCACCGCTTTGGCGTAAGGAGGTCTTGGACCCTTTCCAGGTTCAGGAAGGAGCACCGTTGATTCTTCCATGTCAACCCCCTGCTGGACTTCCCCCTCCCGTCATCTTCTGGATGGACAGCAGTAAGTTTGGCCAAGTTGCTGCTTGAGGCTTTTAAATGCTGTAAATATTTAACTCCTTAGGATTAACGATATTGTGTATCCTCATTACCACTTGTGGTGTTGACTCATCACCAACTTTCAACCAGGTTGCAGTATCTATCGTTTTTCTAATTTTTCTTCGAGAAATATGAAGATGAATTTAGTTCTTCTAAGTTTATTTGCAGAACTTTTAACATCTTCAAACTTGCAGGTGTTTCAGGAAATACCGCGATCTTTTCTGGAATCTTCTGCCTTCGATTTACTCTTTATGTGGAGTCAGTCAGTTGACCCTTTAGCTCCATCCACAATTTTAAGTGATTGAGGACAATTACACAGGCCAATGAATGGGGTCTCTTGTGGAGCAGTGTAGTGTCCCTACCTTTGAGCCAGGAGTCCTGAGTTCAAGTCCTGCCTGCTCTAGAGGTGTTTAATAATTTCTCTGAATGAATTGGTTAGAAAATGTCTCAAAAAACACTGGCAGAAAAAGAGCAAAAGAATCTGAGCGGTTTGCCAGGGGGTCTGCCAGCGGTTGGGGATGGTGAGAGAGGATTGCAGGAGATGTTGAATGGAATCTTGCTGGACAAAAGGCATCTTTGTAGAAGAAGGGCCAAAGTTTTTAAGAAAGAAAGCGAGTGAAAGCAGGAGGGCTTTTGCGACACAATGGTGGTGTCCCTACCTCTGATCCAGGAGGCCTAGTTTCAAGTTCTACCTACTCCAGAGGTATGTCAAAACAGGTTGATTGGGAAACTATCTAGAACAGAAAGGTGCTATAACAATGCAGGTCTTTCCCCTTCCAATTCCATTTTGATTGAGCTCCCTCCCTCTTCCTCACCTTTGCGGGGTCTGCATTGCCCTTAATGGGATTTGTGTGTAACTTAATAAATTGAAAAACATGAGTGTTTTACTGGTGGTAGGTAATAGATGAAAATAAAACCACAGGTGATTTGGTCATGGAAAAAAAACATACACAGTTGTGTGCAAGAGTACACCTGGATATATAAAATAAAAGTTAATGAACAGGAGGGACTGTGTGGTGCAGTGCTAATGTCCTTATCTCTGAGCCAGTTGGCCCAGCTTCAAATCCTAGCTGCTGCAGATGTGTGTAATAACATCTCTGAACAAGTTGTTTAGAAATACCTCAATCAATGAACAACAGGCTAATACAATCAAATGTAGATCAACTAACAATAAACACGAGCATCACATAACCATTTATTTAGTTCATTGATTATCTTATGTTTTCAGGGCTTGGTATGTCAGACTATCTTTCTTCAGCTCTCTGCCTCCTTCTTGTTTCCTCTCTTGTCTCTTTAAGACAATATCCACATCCACAAGCATCCACTCCGTCCACCACCGACGCTCAGTAGCAGCAGTGTGTACTATCTACAAGATGCACTGCAGAAATTCACCAAAGATCCTTAGACAGTACCTTCCAAACCCATGACCACTTCCATCTAGAAGGACAAGGACAGCAGATACATGGGAATACCACCCCCTGCAGGTTCCCCTCCAAGCCACTCACCATCCTGACTTGGAAATATATCACTGTTCCATCACTGTCACTGGGTTAAAATCCTGGAATTCCCTCCTTAAGGGCATTGTGGGTTTACCTACAACATGTGGACTGCAGTGGTTCAAGAAGGCAGCTCACCATCACCTTCTCAAAGGGCAACTAGGGACGGGCAATAAATGCTGGCCCAGCCAACAATGCCCATGACCCACAAATTAATAAAACAAAAGAGTCAAGTTGGTCTTCATCAATGATGCAAAAGATGCTCATTGTCTATAATAAATGCTGGTACGACACCACATTGAACCTAGAGCACATTTAATATCAATGCAAAACATGCTTTCAATTCACCACAATTGTGTTCAATGCTAGTGGCCAAGATTATTTCACTCGCTTCCTGTTGCTTTGACTGCCATTCCTGCTGTATATTTTATATTTTTCAATCTCGAGGAGATAATCATTTGTAATTGCACAGCTGCTTATGTGCTATAAATCTCTGCACTCACTAAATCTCTGTACTCGTGTTAATGCCAGCTCTAACTTCTAGTAGCTTCTTCACTTGCTTCAGCTCTGAGTCTATACCCAGGCTTAATCAATCAAGTACGGTGAGCATAGATCAGCTATCAGACTTGCATAATCAAACACAGCTCAATTGAACAATTGAACACTGTGGCCTGGATTTTCACCTGGTCAGGATGGGGGAACTGATAACCTGCTTCCATCCTTTGTCCAGTTAATGCCACCTCTAAAAAAAGCATCTACAACCTCCAACTTCTGTGGTATTATGCCCATTTTAGAGTGGCATAAAAGTAGCCAAAATGAGCATGTATCACAAGGTGTGGAACTCGAGTGCGTGCACCAGGAGGAAGGAGCTGTGGTGAGGGCCCTGTACTAACCTGCAGCGGAGAATGCTGAACTACAGGAGGGACATAGCCTGAACCTTTTAGCAGAGATCAGCAGCAGGAATGTACAGTGAATAATGAGAAACATATCAAAGAATGTTACTTGTTTTAGTCACTCGGGCAACTCCATCCAACAGTATTGTGTGGGACTTGGAGTGGGCAGAAGAGGGTGGGGCCATACTGTACTTATGGAGTTCCTGGGGAGATAACTATATTGCAGAAATGAGGGGTATAGATAAGGTGAATGGCAGGTGTCTTTTCCCTGGGATGGGGGATTTCAAAATTAGTGGCAATATTTTTATGGTGAGCAGTGAAAGATTTTTTAAAAATATTAGGGGCAATTTTTTTTTACACAGAGAGTGGTCCGTGTGTGGAACGAACTTCCTGAGGAAGTGGTGGATGTGGCTACAGTTACAACATTTAAAAAACATTTGGATAAGTACATGAATAGGAAAGGTTTGGAACGATATGGGCCAAGCGCAGGCAGGTGGGACTAGTTTAGGTTGGGATTATGGTCAGCATGGACTGGTTGGGCCGAAGGGTCTGTTTCAGCGCTATATGACTGTATGACTTTAATAAGTATTTGGAAATAGCTAGGTTGCAAAGATAAAATTATATTGGTATATAAAATATGAGGACATGGAGTACCTTTCCTGAAGTTAAGATCTCTTGTCTCTTTTTAGTGATGGAATCGATCCCTCAGAATAAACGTGTGTCTCAGGGCCTGAACGGAGACCTGTACTTCTCCAATGTGATGCGTAGCGATGCTCGCTTTGATTACATCTGTAATGCCCGGTTCCTCTTCACACACACCATTCAACAGAAAAACCCAATCACCATCAAGGTGATGACCAGTAAGTATCAAGGGACCACCCTCTACCTCCTCCTCTAACAGCTTTCACTCACAATACTGTTCACTGGGCACCAAAGGGTAGACAGTTGTAGATCAATATTTAATGATGTATCTTTCACACTTGCTGAGGATGAGTTGAACTTGAAGAATATGATGCCAAGGAACCCCTACCCCAGCAACACCTTGTGGTACAGGGCCACAGGAATTTCAGGCACAGTGAAGAGGTGTTTTCAGCAAGCAAATTTGAACTGTTCTCTAGTTTCTCATCTATAGAGCATACTGCTCACAATCACAGCCTAAACATTTCTGATAGAGATTGCAGATAAAGTTATTTTCAATGGTGCACAAATGCACAGTTTTAGGGGGTTAATATTTTCATCAGAGAAAGTGCAGAGGATTTCATTTGAGCCCTACGGTGTGGAAGCAGGCCATTTGGCCCATACTGACCCTCCAAAGATGATCCCATCCAGACCTACCCTATCCCCATATTAATCATGGCTAATCCACCTAGCCTGCATATCCCTGCTCAATATGGGCAATGCGCCTGACCTGTACATCTTTGGACTACAGGAGGAAACTGGAGCAAACCCACACAGAGACCCAAGGGTGGAATTGAACCCTGATTCCTAGCACTGTGAGGCAGTAGTGCTGACCAATGTGCCACCCTAGAGATCTACTAGACTGATACCAGGGATGAGGGACATCAATTATATTGGGACACCAGGACAGTTCATAGAGTCACAGAATTGTTACAGTATACAAGGACGCCAGTCAGCTCATCCTATCCCCACTGGCTCTCCAAATGAGCATTCTGTCACTCTCTTGATTTTTCCCCTTGCATATTGTTTCTGTTCAGATAATACCTTACTCCCTCATGAATACCTCCACCCCACTTCCACAGTGCATTCCAAATCTTAACTACTTGGGTTAAAAGTTTCTTTTCCTTCCGTGTTTGCCACTTTCGCAAATCACTTTAAATCTGTGCCCTTTCATTTTATGAGAGGGTACAGTTTCACCCTAGCTACGCTGTCCAGTTACAGTTTGAGAAGGTTATGGGGAGAGTTGGGAGGTGTTCAAAATCGTTAAAGGTTTTGTTAGATTAAATAAAAGGACGTAATCTCAGGATTACGGTAGGTCACTACGGCAGTAGATATGTGACCATCTGCAAGTTCCCCTTCAAACCACATGCCATCCTGACTTGGAAATGTATTATTGTTCCTTCAGTGTCACTGGATCAAAATCCTGGAACTCCCTCCCTAGCAACATTGTTTCACTACAGTACTTGGACCGCAGTGGTTCAAGAAGGTAGTTCACCACCACCTTCTCTGGGAAAAAATGGGGATAGACAATAAATGGTAACCCAGCCAGAGGAACCCACGTCCCATGATTGAATATTTGAAAATAAAAACTGATTCTGAGATGAGGAGGAATTTCTTCAGTCAGAATGTGGTGAATACTAGAAGGCTGCAGAAGTTCAATCATTGAGCATATTTAAGAGAAATAGAGAATGGAGTCTAATGATATTAAGGGACAGGAGGTCGTGTAGGGAAGCAGTGTGGAGGCAAATGATCGATCATGATCTATCTGAATGGTGGAGCAGGCTCAATAGGCCAAATGGCGCATTTCTATTGCAATGTTCCAATGTGGAATCTTTTGATAAGCAGAATGTTCGGTGAGTAAAGAACTCAGATTTAAGGTAGTTTGTACAAGAACCAGAGAGGTTGATGAGGAGAGACATGTTAATGCAATGAATGTGCACTATTTGGAATCCACTGCTTGAAAAGCCAGCAGAAACAAATTCAGTGATAATACTCATAAGAGAATGGAATAAACACCAGAAGTGGGGAGAGATTTGCAGGGCTCCCTAGAAGTGTCAGGGGAATGGGGCTAATTGATAGCTTTTTCAAAGAGCTGGCGTGGGAACAAAGCCCTAGCCTCCATCTGCCCTGCATTAATTCATGATTGCGTGCACCATTTATCTGTAAAATCTCAACAACGCTGTCCAGGCTTTAAAACAGGGAATCCAAAAAGCTTCTGTCACTGGAACTGTTCAATGAATGCTTCGCCGCTCAAGAACAGAACACAGCTTAGTGACTGAATCGCCATTCTAAATCACCGGATTGATCTCAGTCAAGGCAGTAGTTGTGGGAGTTAGTGAATCTCAGGCTAGATGAGAGAGAAATAAAAATCCGCCTGGATTCCCACTCGTGTTCACTAATTCAGTGACCTGCAGCAGGAAGGATTTGTGAGGACAGGATCAGCTTTATTCAAGCACAGTTATTGAACAGTATGCTTACTCGAACTATCCAGGCAGATGATGAGAGAATGATTTATTTGACCAGAGGTTTTAGATTGAACCCTTGAAACTAGTGTGATGCAGATGTTTCAGGAGTAGGTGGCAGAATTATTTCAAATTTCAGGCAAAAAGGCACAAATGTCCACATACCCCCTTTCCTTTGGTGTTGATTCCAACATAAATAGATTCACATGGTAACAGCACAAAGACTCCTGCTGCTCCCATCTTGTTCACCTGTAGTTGGTATGTCCCTGGCATACAATGCAGATGCATTGTCAACCTAGGGAACCAACCTGAAGTTGCCCCACTACCATCATTACTGCCAAACCCAGTTGACCATTAGTTGCTGAACTTACAAGAAAATGCCAGCTCTCTCTTTGCTGATGTGGCACAGTTTATTGACACAACATAGCTCCGGTAATGTTTCTCCAATTCATGTTTTCAAGGAGAGGCTCCCTAGGTCTTAATCCCCCACAGCAATGAATGCAGTAACCCAGTGGTCAGTGAATGTTTGTTTTGAGTAGATCTGGGTCAGAACTTCAAAGGGATCACACTTCCTACTTATTTTGAGGAGATAAACTAAAAAGCTTTAAATCTCTTGATCACAGTGAGTAATTCCAAAATAATAAATTTCCAATTGTTGGACTCACATGGTCTGTTTGCGTATGACCCACTGTCCCTTTCAGCCTAGAATTTGCAATCAGAATGCTTGACATTTTTTTAAGCTTGAACATAAAGTAGTGCCATTTAGTTTTGTGTTATTGGTGTGGCACATTAGCCAGCAGTTAGTAATTTAGTCTGCTACAGCCATTGCGTTTGACCCTCAGGTAAACTCTGACCCCACATTTGCCTCATCGCTAAGACTGACTATTTCCAATTCCTTATTCCCGCTCAGCTTCAGCCCCAGGTCCCAGTCCGTCTGCTGCTGAAATTCTCATCACCTCTTTGTTGCTCCAAAACTTAACTGATCCAACCCACTATTATCTGCACCCCCGCCCAACTCCATCCTTCGTAAACTCAAGTTTATTCCAAAATGTTGCAGCCCATGCCTTAGCTTGCAGCAAGCCCGATCTGCTTAATTCCACCCTCTCCCCACCACTACTATCAACACTCGCACGCTTTCTGAGCCACCGGCTACGTAAATCTCGATTCTAAAATCCTTACACGTCATCAAATTCCTCCATGGCTTCGCCTCTGCCTATGTCTGTAATCTCTCCAGCTTCATAACCGTCTGACATAACTTACCTCCTCCTGTTCTACCCTGCTGAGCATCCCCAATTTTAGTCGATCCACCATTGATGGTTTGCCAAGCCCCAGCATACCCTCACAACAGCTCCCTGTTTCTCTCACTCTCTCACTCTTCTCCTTTTAAGTTACTCCTTGAAGTAACTTCTTTTACCAAACTTTTGGTCATGTGACCTAATCTTGTCTTTTCTGGTTCAGCATCATTTTTGTTTTATATTCCTCCTACAAGGTGCCTTGGATGTTTTACGCCAGTAAAGGCACTATGTAAATATAACTTGTATAAGCAACATAACGAGTTATCTAAACAATATTTCTTAACATTTACAGCTGGAACCTTGTGCACAGCTTGTATTCATTTTCATTTTATTAAGTTTCAATGGTTAAACCATTTTCTGTTCGTTCCCCATTGAAAAAGAATACAAACGCACCAAATCATTTTCCATTGACTTCATTATATGAACTTCGAACGATGAAATCCATTAACCTTACAGGAGGCTTTCAGTGGAGTGACCTCGTTGCAGTTCTTTAGATTTTGAACACTTTGAACCTCTTTCTATTCCCGCTATTGTGTGGAATTCTAGCAGATGCAACCCCATCCATGTACTTCGTTGTTGTGAGTTGCAGAAGGTCTAGCAATTCCTAGCTCCTTCTTGTTCCTGAGCCAAAACATAGCTGTCAGGAATTTCCTCAGGGATTTTCCCACTGTGACTTAGGGAGAAGATCGCCGGGAACTCTGGAAAAATAAAACATGTAGAGAAAGTTTGCACCAATCAGAAGAACTGAAATGTGCAAAGGATAGTATTTGAAACACTCAACCTTTTGTCCATTTTCAATTAACCCATTGTTGATCCTCAAGATACTGAACATTATCCACTACCCAACTTCATCAAGAGGCAACTGTGTAACTGGAAGGTCTACGTTCTATTATGTATCTTTAGATTTTTTGCATAGAGTTTTGATTGAAGCTTCCTCTTATCTAGAATAGGTAGAAGGCTGGATCAAATGAAACATTACTTGTCACATCAGGGAAGGGTTCACCATAGTGCAGGGTGGGCTGGTGATGGGGTGTTGTCGGGGAGATGCTTTCTTCAAACTCCCTCCCACAATTCTCTGAATTGGTTTCCCTTCAAATCTTTTAAAGACAGAAGACTCATTCTACATTCACCTCTGCCAACCTTCCCTGAAAGATTTGGGATGCGTTCCTCATCATTTAATCTGAATTCTTTGTCAAGAAGCTAGCTTTGCTCAGTCACGCTGCTGTTTTGAGTTTTTTTAATACAGTTTTTAATCACACGTCCTGAAACATTGCCGCTAACCTGTTCCGTTTCAATGTGACCTGTGTTTTGGTATTTGATATTCAGCTCACTGATCAGTAATGTATTGCTGAGCAGTTGCTTTTTCCAATGCATTTCTATTTTCTTCATTTCATATCTTGCCCTCCTTTACCGGACACAACCTCCTCTCCTCAACTCTCCTTGAATATTTTTCGGTACTTGAAATGCTTCTCACTATTTCCCTCTCCTCCCCCTTCCCCTTCCCCCTTCCCCTTTGTGCCCATTCTTTCTATCATTTTGTCTGTGAAACCTACTGTCTACTCTACCATACACTCCTTTAACCCTGCGTGACCCTCATCCCCGTAACTTGCTTGCAGACACTTGTCTGGGCCCTCTCTTTTCCATTTAGTCCCCTCTCCCCTCTCCCTGATCCCACAGTTCTCCTGCCTAGTTTTGCACGCTCATGTTGTTTTATTTGTTACAGTGGATACCAGTTATGAATCAGTGCCAACTATTCTGAATGAAACTGAATTGTCTAGTGGTGAGTTATGGCGCCTTCTGGAGAACTTCATGTGTTTTAACCCTCTAATCCCTTACTCAACCGAACTGTGTTTTAACCTAATGTCCCAGACTGCAGTGAAACCCTGAGAGCTGTATCTGATGGAAAATACGCAGGAGAACTTTCGGGAATATGGTGCATTTGTGTAGTGCTTCCAACTCATGAATGGAAATGGTCCACAAATGCTTCTATCTCATGCAATAGCCTTGAATCAATCTGAGATCTAACCGAAATTATTCTGGTTTCGGTTTTTATTCCACTGTGTAATGTATTCCCTGGGGAGAAGGTACAAAGTGCAGCAGGGATTGAGGGAGGAAACAAAAATATTCAGGTGTCAGAATAGAGTTACAAAGCAAGTCGAAGAAATGACTGACCAGATGGATTTAAAGACCCTCTGAGTATCAGGATGAATGCATGGAAGATATTGTCAGGAATTCAGAGTAAAAGTGAAACACTGCAGTTATTGGAAATCTGAAATGAACATGGAGAATATTGCAGAAACTCTTCTTGAGTTTACAGCTTCTCTTCAGCACATCAGTCTGGGTCTGCAGACAGTCTGTTCCCTTGCTCCTCCTCTGTGTCTGTCAGAAGTATAACAAAAATCATTTCCCAACCCCTTTTAGTTCTGAAGAAGAGTCATACAAGGCTCAAAATGTTAACCCTGTTTCTCGCTCCACAGATGCTGCCAGATCTGCTGAGTTTCTCCAACATTCTCTGTGTATATTCTGATAATTCAGAGGATGCATGTAGCCTGTATAGTCAGTGACATTTGAGAGGCATAAGGAGACAAACAGTGTTGTGGAGCAGAACAGGGCTATTGGTCTCAAACCTTTGAAGTAATGGGGTTGTATATCTCTATGTTTTGAATGTGGACAATGCAATATTTACAGGCCAGTCCCAACTGTGTGGAGAGTGCTTTGCATAAACGACATGGACTACAGCGGTTCAAGGAAGTAACTCATCTTCACTGTCCTCATGATAGTGAGGATGGCCAATAAATCCTGGCTTTGTTAGTGACACCCACATCCTATGAAGGAATAACAAAAGTACCGTGTCAGATTACTGAGTTACATATTATCTTCACTAGCTAGAAGGCTAGGACCCTTCTCTGAAAGGCATCAGTAAACCAATCAGCTTATTGCATTAATCAAGTTTTTTTGCTGCCAGCCCTTGAAATTACCATAAATCATTTTTACAGATTCTCGTGGTGGGATTTGAACTCATGGGAGGTCACTGCAGCAGATGTGTGAATGTAAGGGCAGCATGTAGGACAACCCCCAAATTTGGATTTTATTAATTTGTCGATCCCCAAAATGATTGGTCAAAAATGCAAGCCAGTCAGCCCTGGATGGTCAGGATGAGTAAGGAAGTAGTCACTTCATTGAAACATACAGAATTCTGAAGGGGCTTGACAGGGTAAATGTTGCCTCATGGGAGGGTCTGGGACCAGAGGGCATAGTCTCAGAATTAAGTGGCCAATTTAAGACCGAGCTGAGGAGGAATTTCTTCTCTGAGAGTTGAGCATCTTTGGAACACCTTGTCATAGACACCTTGTGGGAGCAGAGTGCTTGTGTATATTTAAGACTGAGATAGATAGAATCGTAATCCGTCAGGAATTCAAGGAGTACGGGAAAAGGGCAGGAATGTGGACATGAGGACTGTCAATCAGCCATGATCCTAATAATGGCAGAGAAAGCTTGAGGGCCTGAACATTTAGTCCTATTCCTGTTTCTTATAGTGTTATGGACCTGGTAGTCACTAGTACTGTCAAAGAGATGAGAAAAATCTTGTCTACACCAACTGATTTGATGTCATTTGAGATGCTACTGGGGAAAGCATAGGAAATAGGAGCAGGAGTAGGCCATTCAGCCATTCAAACCTGTTCTATCATTCAATATGATTATGACTGTTCCCATTTTCTCCCCTTGCCCTTTGATCCCTTTAGCCCTAAGAACTATATCGAACTCCATTTTGAAAACGTTCAACGTTTTGGCCTCAACCACTTTCTGTGGCAGAGAATCCCACAGGCTCCCCAATCTCTGGGCGAAAATATTTCTCCTCATCTCAGTAAGGTGTTAATTTGTCAGTCAGCGAACCTCACAGCCTGTGAAAGAATAAAAAGAAAGAAAAATGTTCAAAGCAAATAGGAAAAAAAACATACTTTTCCAAAATGATTTTCCTTCATGTGTTTTACTTGAAGTGATGTCTAAGTGTTTAATCTTTAGATCCCAAAGATTCCAGCCAATCCTGAAGAGTTGGTAATTGCCTCTCTTGCCATCCATAGAGAGGAACTAACATGGGAAAAGAAACTAAAGCCAATCGAAAATTAACATTGAACAAGAGGATATTGAGTAGAAAGGGTTTGGATTGTACATTCAGGATTTATTTAAAGTGGCTTTGGAAACATTAAAGGCATGTGACATCAGAACTGCACAGAACTTTGAGATTCTGAGCCAGTCCAGATTCCTCCTTGTTTCTTCAGCTTCTGTTTTGTTTCATTGAAGTGGCAGTTTCATTGTGAATCTTTGGCACACGGCATTTATTTATCAATCAACATCGAAAGGATGGACTATCTGGTCATTACAGTATAGCTGTTTTTGGCTGCTTGCTGTGCACAAAGTTGATGTGAGTTTCCTACATGACACTAGTGACTACGCTTCGACAGTGCTTCACTGGTTGTAAGGCTCTGAAGTCATTTCTTGATTTTTCTCTCCCCCAAGGATCTGTAGACGTTCAATTCTAGAATATATTCAGGAAGAGCTTGACAGGTTTTTTAGATATTAATTAATACTGCCTCTCATTTTTATTTCAGTGCACAGACCTCTTAGGTCATTGTGCGGCAGTGACTTCCGAAACTGAGGAGTGCGCACAAAACCTCAGAACGGTTACATGCAAACACAGCTTAGAGGGAACGCTGCTACTCAGAGAATTGCAGATATGGGGATAGGGCAGGAACTGGACTTAAAATCGATGATGCACTATGATCTTATTGAATGGTGGGATAGGAATAAATGGCCAATCGGACCGATGTTTCATATGATCTTATTAACGGCCTTGAGCTGAACTCGAAATGATTGCTAAGTTTGAAGATGACACAAAGATAGGTGGAGGTACAGGTAGTGTTAAAGAAGTGGGGTTGTGGGGGGGTGCCTGCAGAAGTACTTGGACAGGCTAGAAAAGTGGGCAATAAAGTGGCAGATGGAATACAATGTAGGAAAATGTGATGTTATGCACGTTGGTAGGGAGAATAGAGCCATAGACGATTTTCTAAGCGGGGAAAGGCTTTGGAAATCTGAAGCATAAAGGGGCTTAGGGTCCAAGTTCTGGATTCTCTTAAGGTTAATATGCAGGTTCAGGTGGTGGGTAGGAAGGCAAATGCAATGTCAGCATTCATTTCAAGAGGACTAGAATACAAGAGCAGGGAAGTACTGCTGGGGATGTATAAGACTATGGCATTTGGAATATTGTGAGCAGTTTTAAGTCATGTATCTAAGGATGTTGGAATGGATACTGCGGAGGTTTACAAGAATGATCCCGATGATGAAGAGCTTGTCATATGAGGAGCGGTTGTGAACTCTGAGTCTGTACTCGATGGAGTTTAGAATATGGAGGGTGAGTCAGATTGAACCTTACGGTATACTGAAAGGCCTATATGGCGTGAATATGGAGAAGATGTTTCCACTAGTAGCAGAGACTAGGACCCGAGGGAGCAGCCTCAGACTGAAGAAAGATCCTTTAGAACTGAGATGAGACGGAAGGATAGTTAATCTGTGGAATTCATTGCCGTAGAGGGCTGTGGAGGCAAAGTCATTATATGTATTTAAGATAGAGAAAAATAGATTCTTGATTGATAAGGGGATCAGTGGTTACAGGGAGAAAACAGGAGAATAGGGTTCAGAAACATATCAGCCATGATCACATGGCAGAGGAGACTCAACTGGCCATATGGCCTAATTATGCTCCTATATCTTATAGTCTTAGTTTCTTCTGAAGAGTAATACAGTCGCTATCTAAAATTTGCTTATAGAAATTCTTTCAAACATCTTGAAGTTATTTGGGCAAGTAATTAGACCTCTTCATATGCTCATGTACATTAAACTTTTCACAATGTTGTTTAAAATGGAATGATAGATTCTGGCAGTGATCATCATTTTATTATTACTTTCGAACATTCTACCCCGTCACTGTCAGCTGTGTCTCAGTCAGTAGTGCTCTCGATTCTGAAGGAACTTTGGGGTTTCCGTATCACTCCAGAAATAAAAATCTGGATGGACCTGGTACAGAGGGAGTGCTGCATTGTTGAATATGCTCTGTCTTTCACATGAGAAGATGAACTGAGACTCTGGCTGTCTTTTCAGGTGGATGGATTAAGGCAAATGGTCTTTGAAGGCTGGCTTGGAATATTGCGTGCAGTTTTTGTTTCCCGATATGCCAGAAACCAGTTACTGGCCTTTCACTGGGGTTTGGGTTGAAATTTGATCCCATCTAATGGAATATAGTTGCCTCTTGCCAAAGTGATTCCAATTGGATTGAGTTGGGGCTGGATATCCTTAATTGTTGCAAATCTACACCAGAGAAATTTGCACTGTCAGCACTGACTAACAATCCTACTCCGTGAAGCCACGTGAATCTGGAATTGATGGATTAGGCGTGGGATGTTTTTGCCTTTCAAACTCCACATTCCGACTTTTGGAATGAAAATCCCTTTCTGTCTCTGCTGGAGTCTCCAGGGACAAACATGAGAGAAAAGCATAGGGGGATAAGTTAAAAAAAAAAATGCTTCGCTTTTCTTTGGAAACATTTTTATTACCAATGAATAAATTGGAGGTATGAGAAATGGCTGTTTGACTGGTTGGGGAGATTGGAGGCGGGGGAGACTATGATTAAAACTTAAGGAAATATCTAATCAGAGTTGGCAATCCTGTGGTCAGCTGTAATTCCTGTGTGAGATGGGATTGAACTACTTCAATCAAGCTCCTGTT